AATTATTGTTAACGCTAATTCATATAATGATTTGTAGTCTAATTAAATATTATAACATTTGGATTTATATAAAATATTTATAAATAACAATGATCTTACTCATTTAATAGCATCCACACCATTTGTACAAACAAACGAGACATTATTTGAGTTATTTATATGCACTAGCTCTAACACTAGTGCCCTAAATATAACCCAAATAACTGTGCAAGGTAGACCAACTGTAACAATAACATGCAATGGACTTGTTATACCTAATGTAGTAACTGTACCTATTATTGCTACTGTTTCAAATGGTTCACTAATTACGATTAATGTCACCGTGGTCAACGCCTATTATACGTATATTAATGGTAATTATTATTAAATAAAACATACAATTTAAACAAGACAATTAAAAATAATTATATCTATTTATTTATTGTGCTAGGTGATTTACAAGAACAAGGGTACGGTATGGTTATGGGTGGTCCCTGTAATGCTTTAAAATTTTACACCAGGGATATTTATAGAGCCAATCCAATAAATGGGTCCACCAGTATTAATGGTGTGACCGGGAATACAACTATTTACAGGCTGTCCACTCTGGTAGGAAGTTGTAATATAATTTTTCAGGTGTATGCACTTGGTCATATTGGTGAAACATATCTCAGTTACAGCCCCGGGTTTAATAATAATGGCCTTGTGTAATATAATATTATTTTGTAGTGTAATTTAATTTTTATTATATAATATTTTCAAAGTATATTATAATTCTTTGTAAATCTACTATAATTGCTATAATAAAACACTTGTAATAATAAAATTTATATTAAACTCGCTTTCATATAAAACTCTACATGTACAGCAATCAAACATTATTTTTCATTAATCATCTAGTGTCGATTGGTGATCATTAAACAAACTATTAATCTAAATTACTTTTAAATATAATTATTATTATATAATTTAATATTTCAACTTAATTATGTTGCTATATTGTTAAGTATTCAACTTGTACTCGTTAGTATTTATTATTTGTTTAAATATTACCTATATGCAAATAATGTTTTAAGGTAGCTAAAGTACAATCATAATAATACAAATCTTAATCATTTTATAAATATAAATAAAAGCAAACAATAATTTTTGACAATATGCTATTGCTAACTTTACTTTAAAACCAATAATATATATAAAGTAATTAAATCAACAATAAATACAGATATATAGTGTATAATTAAATTGTATATTATTTATACAAAACATTAATAAAATTTTTGATCTACAGCAATTACTAATGTTATAAGTATTAGTAACTGGACTGTAGCCCATGAATGTTAATCAATGATCAAGATAAATTAAATAGGCATCAAACCGGGCTTGGCACAAAAGTCCTTGCCAATTTTAATAAATGAATTGCAACATTGACCCTCGTTACAGTATAGTAAGCTAGCTTCATTACCAAATGATCCAGGTTGACAGTCATAAATGGCATAATGATCGCAGCACCCTGTTAGGTATTTTAGTGGCCCGTTTACATGGTAGCCACAAAATTTACCCTCAACCTTTCCACAGTAGCATGAACCTTGACATTTTTCATCTTGGTGTTATAATTTTGGAAATTTTAACTTTTATGTAATAATTATAAAATTAAATATATTTTATTATGAATATCTTACTTTGTCTAAATATAAGCGGGATCAGTTTTGGTAGGTAACACTTTTTCCAAATAATTTTTGGACTTACAATGCCAGCGCATAATATAAACACTATGTTTTGAATTAAAAATTAATTAGTTAAAAGTTACATAGGTTATTTATTAAAATTTATATACCGCAAAATAATTTCATATTCATTATTAAATGTATATTATAAATTTCTATATAAACTTATATTTTAATAAACTGTATATAATAGACGTTAAATTTAAATTTTAGCTTATAATAAATATATAAAATTATAATTATAATATTTTATGTAAATTATAATTTATTATTGTATTTTGTTTTTAGATTTTGCACGGAGTATATGATATTATGATTTAAAATTATGTTTAAAGTAGATAATATTTGTGAAATAATTTATATAGTAATGTAGAAATGTTATTAAATAAAATTTTAAAATATATGTGACAAATTTAAAAAATAATTCCATTATACTTAAATATACACAGAGAACTTATTTTATTTTTGCAAATATATACATTTATAATATTATACTGTTTATATCACACACTGAAATTAAATCTTGCTAATAAAGTAGTTAGGATAAAGTAAAGCTAATGTGAATATTATAATTATACTATAATAATAATATTTACATACAGTATAATTCAACATTTTCATAACAATAACATCACGTTTAATACACAGACCAGTAAATTGATCCATTCAAATTTCAGTAGTATTAAACATCAAAGTAAATACACATGTGATCGATAATTATCAATATAATGATAAAATAAATTTTTTCATTCAAAACTAATTTGTAAATATGCACTAGTTGATTTAGATAAATTGCCACATTTTTAAAATTTAAATTAGGATTTAAAATTCCTATTTATAACTTAATTTCAACTGTAAGTTATATCATACATTGTATATAATTTATAAAAATTAAGCCAGCGAGCTTATACAAATAATACTAATAAATAATTGTTACAAAAATTGGCATTATGCAATTTATCCATTCGAATTGTTCATATTGGTGATTTGATTTTGTAAGCCAGCACAAAATTCGGTACTATTGAACTGACCAGATTTCAAGCACGATGTGCATGGTGCTTTTAGAAATCCGGGCACAATTAAAACAATTGGATTGCACACTAATCCAAAAGTAGCATCAGGGTTCGTCAGGTTTGACTTTAAGTCGGGACATATACAGACAAACGTTGAATTACATGATATTGGTTGAGGACATGTTTGCTGTTTATTCACGGTGCTACCATGGCCACTGTTTGGACCTAACTCATTTTGACCCAATAATTATATTTTTAATTACAGTTTAAACTATTTTTGAAAATATTACGTTTACCTTGATTAGCATCAAATTTCTTGACATGTTTATGTTTTTTATCTGTAATCCGATTATATTTTATTAGACTTATTAATTGAATACATTAGTTTATCTTTAAATAAATATCCTAGTTCAAATAATTAGTTTAATCAGAGCAAATCTTAAAATCATTATTATATTTAGTATAAATTGTGTAGTGTAATAATTATTGTTAAAAATATGCATATCATTTTTGACATGATGATTTGCTATTGATTTTGATCGATATTGTAGTAATGATTCAATTGGCACTACCATATCATTAGTGATGTCATGTATGTTATCATGATAAATACTCGTGTTACAATCAATGTAAATAAAACCTACATGATAATAATAAATAAATAATTTAATGATTTGATGATTACAGTTTTACAAATAAATACAAAAACTTACATATTGCCAAAAATACAGATAATATTAATGATGCCGGTATCATGTTAAAATTAATTTTAAAACTATTATTTTTAAAACAATTTATATTTATAATTTTTTAAAACTACAACTAATTATAATGTAATTTCGTATGTTCAAACTGGGAAGTTATTTAAGGCAACACATGTAACATAAATTTATATAACTGGGATAACTAACTAAATAATTTATAAGTTTAAATAAATGTTATGAATTAAAACTTTTTATAAAATTGAAATAACCTCAATTATATTATTATTAATAATAAAAATTATCAAAAATATTATATGCACTTATTTGTACAGTACGTACAGAATGCATTAAAAAATTGTACTAATATAATGTAGCTTATAAATAATCAATTAACAAGGATAATTTTAGTATGAACCAATAATATTTAATTTACGTTGATATTGGTTAACAATAAATATTCTCGAAATACTATTACAGTTTATACTTTAATAAATTAATAAATTGTACTGTATCAAATTAAAATAATATAAATATTAATATATTAGCATATTACTGTATTAATGCTATTTATTGAAATAAACTCGCTATAAATAATATTGTTACATAGATACTTATTATAATATAGAAAGGATATTTATTAATTTATTAAAAACGTTATGTTAATTTTTAATAGCCGGGTTAAACGAGAAGTACGAGTGGTATCTCTTATCGACAGTACATTTTTGATTGCATTTTTGTCCCGATATCTGGGCGTTGGTGTAGTCGACGGACACCGACCTCAAGCCGTTCCCACTGCAGCCTAACTGGTCGTCCGCCACATAGGCGTTCACCGAGAAAAAGGTGTCACCAGTGCAGGGGCCGGCAGTTATCTGACCGAAATTGTACTCGTACATATTTCCTAAAAATAAAACATATATAAATAATTAATTTATAAAAATTATATAATAAAGTTACAATTAATACAAATTTTAATATGCATTAATATTGATAAATATAATCTATATGGAATAATATTAAAATTTTTATTAATTGTAACTATTATATAAATTAATTAAAATAAACAGGTTCAAACAAAATTATATTATATATAAAGTATTTTGTAACATTAGCTAATTTAATTGTATAACCTACTAAATCTATTATTACGTATAGGTAAGTAGTTTTATTTTTTATACCGTCCTAGTTATATTGTTAAATAACTAGTTTTACTAAATATACAAAAATAATATAACTTACCATTGAGATAGGAATAATACTGCGAAATGTTGGCAATATCCATTTCCTGTGTCCAGCCATTAACAGTGGCCATGTATGTGGCCGGTGCTACCCATGTGTCGTATCCGTTGCACGAGAATGCAGTTTCAAACGTGGCGTTCAATAGGAGCTGTTGTACGGGACCACCGGTGCATACCATACGGTGATAGACAGTGGCATTGGTGTTCAAGAATGGAGTGGTAGCTAAAATAAATAATAATTTTATCAATGTAAAAAATATTGCACAAACATCTAGTATAATACTATAGTGACTAACTATTTTTTAAATGATTATTACTTATAAATAATTGATTTAAAAGTAATTTTAATTTTTGTTATTTTTCAAACTGTATACTTAACTGCAAATATTTTTAAAATAAAATTTGTCTGATAAATTGACATTATAACATCATGACATTATAAATGTGTATGATAAATTATTATTGGAAATTTTAATCACGATGATCAAGGTAAATATAAATATGATTAACTTACTATTTCGAGTACCAGCACCATTTTTGGGAAATTTTAGGATATTATTTTGAGTTAAAACTCCGCTATTTTGAACAACTGTTACATTAAAAATAAATAATTTCAATTATATTTATTACTATGAATATACTAGTATTTAAATACCTGGCCATACGCTTTGTAGTTGCTGTCCAAGGTGGTCCGAGTCGCAGCCAAAATGAAAAAATCCCAATGTGTCCCCGATCAAAACTTTAATTATATTGAAATTGTTAAGTTAATTGTTTTTTATTTTCATGGTTATTATAATTAATAAATACCCAAACTAATAATAAACACAGTACACACAGATTGTATCATTATGAATTATAGTATTGGATTATTTCAAAATCTAATTTTAAAATACTTGTGTTAGCTAGTTACTTTTTATCGTATATATATACTATTGTTAATCCGCCTATTATGTTTCATAATTTATTAGTTGAGCATTATTAATTATTAAACCGAAAATAAGCATTATAGTTTATGAATCAACAATGTTTGGTACATTATAATTAATCAAAGTGACATAAATTATATCCTAGTGCATTCTGTACAGATAGTAAGTATCTAGTCAAGTTTATTTATGATTAAACATGTGCATTTCAATATTTCAACATTCCTATTTAAAAACATTAATTTTGTTTGACTATTATCAGGATTATTATTTGAGATACTAATAATATTAAATATAATTATTTCACTAATATGATAATATAACAGATAATTAATATAACTTAGTTAATTATTTTTATGTAGTATGTTTAAATTAATAATATAACTACGGTTTTAAAAATGTGAATTATAATTTGTACACAAAGTACGAGGATATAAACTGGCATGTAAACATTAATAAATACTGTATAATACAATATAAAAATAACTTATTACTAATAAATGTAAAGTTAAGAATTGTTGGTGTTATAATTCTAAAAGATATTAGTAATCTAAATACCCTGTTACTAAAAAAATAAAAATTCTAAACGTCTAAAATAAAATTCTAAAAAAAATTATTATAAAAAAATGAAAATGGTTTAATAAAGTTTATTTTAATAAATTAATTTAAATATTGATCTTATATAATCTAAGTTTATATTGAATCTATCTATAAATTATTTTAATAATTGTAAAATTAAAAATGATTAAAATATTGTTTATTTTACTAAGAATATAATATTTTTAGATTTTATACAAAAATTTAGGACTAATAACATTAATTATATAGTAATGATAATAATGTTATCGGTAAGTGTAATAATTTTATTCACAAATATGATATATGAAATAAATTTTATCAAATTAAATTTATTGATTACAATGTAATAATAAAATAATAAAAATTTGTGTTAATTAGTAGACGTGTTAAAATGTTATTCATTTTATATCATACGTGGCATAAAACACAGTACACTTAACTAGTCTACTTATTTAACTAGCATTTAAGTAATTTGTTTAATGTGCTAACTAATTGTGCTAAGATTTTAAAAATATTTTTCAAAATGGACTTAGTGAATATGAAAATTGATATTTCAATCTTAATTAAACAATATAATGTTGCATTATATCACCTTTTTGAAAATACAGCCAAAAATATATTGTTCATCACGAGCGACGACACTGTTTACGGAATGGGCAGTAATTTTAGCGGATGTCTAGGTTTAAGCCACGATTTCGATGTCAATTCGCCGCACGTTATACCGGAGTTGTGCTACTAACGCATTCAAGAGTTTTACCTTGGTCAAGACTTTGTGCTGGCTATGAGTGCCGACAATTGTATATACGCATGGGGACATAATAATTGCGGTCAATTAGCGAGGTATGTGACGCCCAAAGGCATATATTTAAAACCCGCCAAAATCGCGTTTTTCAATGACCTGGATATCATACAAATGAGTTGCGGTCCGAATCAGAGCCTTCTTTGACAAGTGATGGGCGTGTCTATGACTGGGGGCGTAATATTGAGGGTCAAATTGATCATAATAGTTTGCAAAGGCTTATTTGTGAACCGACTTTAACTGACCCTCTTTGTGGTAACAAATTTAAGCAAGTTCAGTCATGCGTGTATTCATCGTTTGCACTCACCCTGGATGGGTTTGTAGTTTATTGGGGTGGTTTTAAGTACGATACCAGACTACATAAACCTAAACGCGTGAGGTCTCTTGATGATATTAGTCTGATGACAAACTATGTATGGATTGAGAATGGTGAAATTTACGAAAAAATGTTATTTTTATCTCAACGTGGGATATTACATTTATTGGAATTGAGCAACTATAGTGATCTTACAACTTGTAGAATAAATAGCATTTATCGCTTTGAAGAATTGAGGTGGATCAATTTTATGAAACCTACAGAGTTTGTGGCAATATCAAACGGCGAAATAATTTATAAGTTGGACAAAGAGAATAAGTTAACTAAAACACAGTACGCTGATTTTCATAAGTATTATGAAATTGAGCATGGTGTAACATATAAATCGGTCAATCCTCGTGCGAATTATTATAGCAAAATGTTTAAGCAATACGCACAAATTGGTTCAGGGGCGTTTGGATCGGTATTCAAAGCAAAAAATAAACACGATCACATGTTATATGCTATTAAAGTGTTAAAAACTAAAGGTATTTTATAAAATATATTTTACTTTTTAATATTTTAATATTAATAATATACAGTGATTGCAACTTTAGATGAGTTCAATCAAAAAAAGATTAAACTATCAAGATGATTTTTAGTTTTACTGCCCGTTTCACCAGAAATGCGGAATCTTGT